TTCTTCTCTGCTATTGAAGATAATTGAAAGGTTAATCTCCCTCCTTATATTGTAACTAACTAGAGTATGCACTTTTTTTTGGTGAAAAAAATCTCAGTCTGTGCACTTGCAATTCATGTATCAAAGTCAAAGTCAACTCAAACTGGAGAAGTTAAAGTATGGAGGTAGCCAAGATTTTGGGGCATTTCTGTGTAATTTTTTCTTATGCTTTTCAAAGGCTCTAGCATTTATGATATCCTATGCATGTATGCTTAGAAGTAGAATAGATGCTTTTGCAGCTACACCATCATACTCTAATAATAGATTTAATTACAAGGCCAAATGTTATCTCCTGTAGGAAAACAGGCGTATCGGAGCTCTTAAAGGTCTGATTAGATTTCTTTCTGAGTACAGGGAAACAGTGTGATAAAGAACTCTGTTCCTCTACATTCCATTCACAACATTTAAAGTACTTGCTAGGCTAAGCATAATTGTTTCTACTTTTCCCAGATTCCCCCTAGAATCCTGGATGGAGTAATGCAAATTCACTTCTGTAGATACTATTATATGTTTAAAGCTCTCAATACCCAAGAAAATCTTGAATAGCACTAAAAATAACACTAAAATGGAGTACCAGGGTAGAGGTGAGCAGGGCAATCTCAGGCACGCATAAGTTGTAAAAGCCGCGAGCTTCTTTATCTTCCACAAAGACATCTCCCTTAAATTTAAATAGCTGCTGTCATTGTCAGTGACTACCTGACTATGTATTTATCTGCCCAGAAGCAGAGTGCATGGCCTTTGGCCCTGCTATTCATGGTGTTACTGTCTCTGCCTAACAATGCTGTGAACAGAGCTGGGCTTCTGTTAGCGTCTTTTGTTTGATGTGAATCGCTGCAGCTTTGATGTTGTTTGTGAGAAAAATAATGATTAAAAAGAGTAAGATCTTCAGTCTCCCACTCTGTCTGCTCCCCATAAATAAATTAATCTGAGTTCAGGGAAAAAAAAATCTGTGCCTGATCCTGTTTTAGGTACACCCAAACCACAGAGCCCAGGAGAGAAATCTGTTAGTGCTGAAACTCTTAGCATCTCTTTGCTGGAGGGACAGAGAGGTAATTTGTCTAATGATCAATATTTTATTTCCTGTTACACAAACATGTATGGTCAGATAAGTACGGAATATTTTTTTCTGTGTAGTGAACACAGCTGTCAGTGTAGCTGTAGTGCTTTTATTTCCAGTGGGATGTCTTAGATTTTCTGCTATAGTTGTATGTGCTTCAACTTTTACCGAATATTACAACAAAAAAACCCTGGATGATTACTTCATCCTGAAGCTGCACTAGTAAATTTGAAATGCTCTACAGTGCAAAAAAAAAAAAAAAAGCATGTTTTTCTTGTAAATTATTATTCTAATAAGCTTGTTTCTCATCTCTACTGATGAATGCTTTTCTTGCTGGCATTTTTGAATGAAGAGCAAATGTGACGCATTAAAGCGTAACTAAAGGCCCTAAAAGCAGAGCTTCAGAGTAAATGGATGGCTGTTCTGCTACTCAAGGTAAAAACTCCACTGTCGTATAAAAATACTCTGAGCAGTGATCACTACAGTAACAAAAAAGTAAATTCAATAAAATTATAATGTCCCAACAGTAATAAAAAGCAATGAACAAAAAATTGGGAAGCGCTTATCTTCAAATCTTAGATCCATACTGTGAAGGACGCAGATTTGATTGCTAAGGTATCTTGAAATTGGAGGTGGCTTGATTCCCACACTGAGCTGTAGATGTGGGCGAGAGCAAGGGAGTAGAGCAAGCCATGGCTTACCTTGTGCCAAGAGCAGAGTCAGCTAACAGAGCAAACAAACACAAAAAGGTTTTGGATTTAGGCAGTTGGATATGAGAAATCGAGTTGTGTATAATTCTTGATATTTTTATTTTTTAATATCCCCAGATATCATTATATATCTACATTCAGCTTCAAGCTGCATGTTAACTTACGGTGTAGCCTGTTTAGTGTATTCCTGACATTCCTTCTTCTGAGTTGGACAGGCATTCCAAGGGGCAGGTGGGATTGCTAATGGAAGTGGCACAGATCTTGATGTTTTGCTAGTCACTTGTAAGCCTTCTCACAAAAAGGGTCCAGACTTAGGAAACAGTTCTACCCAGGTAAGCAGAGGGATGCAATAAACATCTTCCAATAAAGGAGACTTCATTGTCCTTTCCTTGGGAGAAGAACTGCACCTCGAAATGGTCTGTCTTAATTACATTAAGGAAATGTAGAGAGCAGACGCATAAGGAGAGGAGGTAGAGCCAAACCTCCCACAGAGTGTTTGAGAATGGTGGAAAAAGAAATGAGGCTAGGAAGGCCATAATACTCTAAAATGCTCTGCAAATTTTAAGTATAAAACATTCCTTGTGGCCATTCTGGTATGTAGCCTCACTCATAAGTATGCACTGTGGAGAAGATACAGGTCTGTTACAGTAATGTCAGTGGCATTAGGGCCAGTGGGGTGGTGTCAGACCACCCCTGGAATTTTGGGCTGTGGAGTTCCTTCTGCATTGCATACTTCAGACAAGTGCAGCTTCCAAGAGTAGCCTACTCCTAGGCAAAGAAGATTTCAGGGTGCTTTGCTGATCTCCTGTTTGACTTTAATGGGAGTTGGGAGTGTAATGGGAGTTGCTGGGACCATCTCTGCTGTGAGGGTGTCAAATAGCATTAGGTCCTGCTGTAGCAACTGTTTCGGAGTGCATGCGCATGTTCCCCACAGTGTTCCCTTCGGGGCTCTGAGTGCTAAGATATGGCCACATGGTTTTCAGGACTTTTAATCGCTAGGATGGAAAAAACTACTTGCAAAAGCCTTCATTTTGTTCTCTACGGTTTAATGCTGTAATTCTGGTATCAAAATGAGTGTCAAATGTTTATGTCAAACATACGGTTTTTATAAGCACTTTGCTAGTGAGCAATATAAGTACTGCTAAGATTTTACCAATTTGTCAGCTGCCACTCTGCCTGTTTATGTTGTATTTGTAATGGTGTAACTCATTCTCTCCCCACATGCAGTCCCTATGACATAGCACAATGGCTAGAATTTTAAAGATTGTATTTAGAAGGAAAAAAGAAATCTAGGACTTGGCCCTACTTGTAATGTTCAGCCAGCCCTAAATGGAGGATTTACAATGTCTGAATACATTGCTGATGTGATATGTGTATTGAGGTTTGATTAAGCTGGATATGAAAATTAAAACTTGGCTCCACATTGAAGAGAATCTCCCGCAGTGTGGTACTATGACATCAAGTTTTCTGTTTACCCCTAAGGCTGGTGCTGCAATGACTTCCAGGTTTGATGGTGTCTCTTTTTTAAGTTGTTGAGCAGCAGGCTAATAGCTGCACAGCATGATGCAGAGACAGCAGAAAGCAGGGAAATCAGATGCGAATATACTCCCCAGAGATCTCCTGCTAAGATGGAGCTAACTAACCAGAGCTTTAATGCTCTGATATAGTCTCCTCATGCAGAAGATGGGCTGATTATCAGTTTTTCCTGCTTTAACATACATTTTTGGATTACAGATGCTATTACAAATGTGAATTCTGGTACAATATGCATTCTAGTGTAATATGTACTATTATACTGTAAGGAACTTTCTTTTTAAGAGTTGTTGTCTAAGGTCAGTTGTCATCCCCCCACCTCCATTGCACAGAATGATCTTGGCATTTTAAAAAAATACGGATTTATATTCTTCTGTGCTTGCTCTGCTTTAATTATTTGAAGCTGTGGCTTTAATTTATTTCATCGTGACAAAGACTGTCCTGAGAAAGGGACAAGATCTGCTGGCAAGGCAGTAGCACGCCTCGCTGTTCACCCAAGTGCATGTTGTCCATGTCACACAACAGGAGTTGCCTTTGCTGGTGGGCAGTCGTTTCATTGTCACAGTGTCAGCCTCAGGAGCTACAAGGTATAGAGAGCAAGGGAAGCACACTGTATGTTATTGGTGATGTGTCTGGCCTATAAAATGAAAAGGAACTGCCAATTCATTTTTATTTGTGTGTAGAAAAGCTATATTCAGGCACAAATTCAGCAGTTTTGTGTTAACATGAGAGCTGGTACCTGCTTTCCACCTCTTGGCTTTGTATCATCACAGACCCATTCATTGCTTGGATATGTGAGGCAGTTTAGGGTACAGTGGTAACAGGGAGAATGTGTTTCAGTTCCCCAAAACTGCCTAGTGAGAACACCCCAATGTTTTCAGTGGTAAAATTGGTAGTCTTTAGTGGCATAAGGTGGTCTGTGCGGTTTCAGTGAGTAAGTGGAAAAGTAGCTGACATGGTTATTGATAGTTGCATTTCTACAGTGTTATTTTGGATTTATCCTGCTTATGTAGCTCTGCTTTCTGTACAGGTAAGAGACAAAAAGTTAAAATTATGAAGCTTATATTATACAAGTCAGATTCTGAAGTTGGTTTAATCCGGAAAGAGAGAAGCGTTATTCTGGTCGTCTACAGCATTAATAAAGTAGTACTTGAGCACTTATATCAAGCATCCACACAGTCCATGTGGAAGCATGACTGAAAGAGGAAACACCAAGTTAGACAGCACATAGGTTAAACCACAAATCATTTGCCACTGACCTTAAAAGCTTGGCCTAGAGTGCCCCGTAACATGGAATGGAGTCAGAAGGGAGCGCAAAGGTTCAGCCTTGTGCTTCCCTTTGGGTCACACGTATTTGGACAGATTGGACAGCAGCATGTAACAAGGCTGTCCCACTCCACACCTTGCCATGATGAGAATTTGTTTGTCTCAAATGTAATAAACTAAAAGGTTGCCCTATCGGCTTTTATTATTTAGTGGGGAATTATGTTTATAGATGTTACCACCTTCAGGGACTCTGAAGATTTCTGCATGGAGTTCAGACTTTTGGTAAAGTCAGAGTTCAAATAGCCTTCAAGGCTGCATTGCAAGCTAACTCTTTTTCCCTAGAGAGGCAGGAACAATCTTCTCTGGACTCTACAAGAGCAGTAAGTAAAAATTACCTCATACAATGGCATGCAGATGCTATCAATCCACTCGAGCTGCAACCTGGGTAGTTCATCTTTCCTGTTCCGATCAAAAATGGCCTGAATTGAGAAGGGAACAAAACTGTCATGCTTTATTACACTGGAGTATTTTACAGACACATCATCCAGCACTTTGGAGCTATGATCGAATTCTCACAACCAGAACACTTTGTAAGCTGTAATCAATCTTTGCAGTAGTCTTCCTACTGCTTTGTCTGGCATGAAAAATACACTTTATTTTCAATTTTGTTTTGAAATTTGTAGGCTGAATGTATTTGAATTTTGTAATTCTGTGGGGTAAAATAAATGCTCCACAAGTTGGAGTTGAGTTGGTAAGAAACCTCCTGTAGAAATATAAGTAGGTACTTTTGAGTAGAAATTTCCCTTTTCTCGCATAGGTTTCTCCAGCTCAGCAAAATGAACAGTGGTGGATCTGGGCTGGTTCCTTCCCTCCGTTACTCTAGGATATGCCAAGTTTTAAATGTTTCTGTCTTTTTCTTTGGAAAGTCTATTTTTATTCTGGGCCCATCTTCTCAATGTTGATGTTTCCTGTGGAAACTTACTTTCCATCTCTTCCTTCTCAAAACTCCAGACTATACAAATTACATTACATTAAATGTCTGATTGAATTCTTCTAGTAGTAGCCTGCTCTTTCTGACATACAGGTATCACTCAGTGTATCTAAATAAGAGCAGGAGGTAAGATTCAGGAACTCTGTGGTCTTAAGTGAGAATCTTAGGTTTGATTTTTGGAAAATCCTGTATGTATTATTCATGTAATTTTGAAAAATCCTGTCATTTTCAGATTATTACAAGCACAATGCAAGAAAAAAATTCTTGAGGTATAAGAGAATATTGCATTATCTTGATGATTACCAACTCTTTTGTCTGATTAGCAGTGATATCTAGGTGGTTTGTCATAGCAATATGTCATGAAATAGATAAGCATTTGATCTTGTTTAAAAATTCTCATTAATGTGGTAAAACTCTACATGAGATCTATGATTTTGACCCTTGGCTATCAACTGTTTGAACTGATGAACTTGGATTATTTACTGGCCTTATTTCCCCATCATAAAACACTTAATACATGAGTTAACTGGATTATTTTGAAATTCTGAAAGGCCAAGCAGAGAGGAAAATCTTCCTTCAAGCTGTATGGCTTCAAAGCATGTGGCCCATAAATCACTATATACCTTGGTGAGAGAGTCCAAGAGTGAGAGGGCTCCTGTGATGGAGGCAATACTAAAAAGATTTATAGCAATACACTTCTTTCCCACCTGTCTGGGCTGTTAGATGCAGATTTTTCAGAAGACAGAAGTCTAGAAGAAAGTTCTGGGCTTTTGTCTTTCTCTGCGCTTCTACCAAGTCTACAGTATGTCCAAAAGGTAGGTGTAATAACACACTTGAAAATGACTCTTAAGGTTGCTGGACCTGGGCCGTTTTCACTGGAATTCATTGATGCTTAAAGACAGTAACATTAATGGGTGTGTTAAAATAAAATTAACTTCCTATTTTGCTTCACTAGCATGAGAAACACACTTTGCAAATTTTATATACAAGGCAGGAAAGGCACTTCCATCCCTATTATATGGAATGTTACTTGCAGTTATTCAGGCCTAGAACTGGCCTCAGAATTGTGAATACCGTGACTGACTGATTACTCTTCTACTGGACTATAGCTATCTATCATTTTTATCTGAGATGTACACACAAAACTCCTATAGGGAAGAAATTCAGTAATGTTGCAACCTCTGACAGTATAAAAAGTGAAAAGCCATTTACTGTATCTGAGCGTTATTGACCACATACTTTAACTTTTTTTACTTCATTATGTCACCACAGGCTCATATGTGAGTATTACTGAAGTGAGAATAAGTCGGAGCCATTGAAATGGTCTTTTTATTTTAGGAAATATATTTGTCATGGCTTGCAAATTAAATTCCTTAGAATACTTCCTGCTATCCTTCTCCTGTTGCTTCCAGACAATGGCTTGGCAACACTTAGAAATGTTGGATAAAGATAACCTGGATAAGTCTCTTTCTTCAAGTTGTTCACTGAAAACCTTTATGAAACTTTTTTCCTAGTTGTTTGACACTTTATACCTATCTGCCTGTATTCCACTTAATACCAGTTTATCCTTTCAATCAGTGTTGTATTTAGTTGAATATCTATAGAAATGCTTTTCTGCATTTGACACGTCAAATAACACAGCTGCATCATAAACTAAACCTGACAATCTTGATTTCCATAGGCAGCTGGTGATTTTTACTTGAACACTGTGTATTAAAACCAATACCTATTGCTTAGAAAATTGACTGACAGAATAACCTTTGGAATAGGTACAGAAAATGGAGAAAAGGGCTTAATACAAAGTGACTGAGTTGACTGGAAAGCTTTTATTTATATAAGGGTCTAATATATGGCATGTCCTTATTAGACAGAGTATTTATTCCAAGATTTTTCTTTACATGCAAAATATAGTTATTTTTTCTGAATGTACCTAATGATATTTTCTTACCTTATGCAAGTTAGTAATTATTTCAGAAAGTATTAGAACTTACTGAAGGGGTGAGTTTCAGTTCAGATCTTTCTCTGTCTCCTTGTTCAAAGAACTCGCTGGTTACCAGCTCAGCTGCCTAAAACATAAATCAAGATAAAGATTAGAGTTCTCACTACATAATTTTTAGGGTAATGAGTTCTTGCTCAGACTAGGGCTTCAGCCTGTGCTTAACCATAAAGAAGTGAATAGCTTAACCTATGTGACTGGTGTCAGGCATGTGTTTGCATAGTTTTCAGGACTGGGCATACAGGGTGTATAAACAGCCATAATCACCGATAGGCACACATCCCTTTGATAGGGAATTGACTGTTGGAATTACATTGCAATATTGAGGCAGCAGTCAATGCACTTATGCAATTTAATCAAGAACAGAATAGAAAATTATAGCTTCTTGTTGGCATCCACAATTATGTCTGTAAAAATGCTTTGTAAGATGTGCAAGAGCTCTCTGGTTATTTACAGCCTGTTGCCCTGTATAAACAACTTAGCTTATAAAAGAAAGTTAATTAAATAATAACATCTGTTGTCTTAATTTAATGTGAAATCATAAAGGTTTTTTTCCCCACTAGGCTTTACTTTGTTCCCATGACTGTAATCCCTATCAGCTCTGCATATCTAAATATGAAGTTAGATTGTGATTATCATATTGAATCAAAATCAAGAACTAGTGGGTTGGAAGTTGAAATACATCTTTCTGGCTTTTATGAATGAATATGTTCTATTCACAGATGAGGTTTGTGCTTCTCAGAAGAACACAAGATTTTAAAACAAAATTGATTATGGAAACATCAGGAATTTTAGGAAGTCACACAGTGAATAATCCTGATAAAGTAGCCTTTATGTACTGTGCTTGTCATGTGTGGGGCTTTGAAGGTAGGTGTTTTTATGTGACATTTGAGACGCAAAAAAAGGAAACTAATCTACTGAAGATGGCATTTGGTTCCTAATGCTCCTGTCATGCCTCCTTATTGCTTTCAAGTAAATTCCAGCTAGGAAATGATTTTAGAATGTTGAAGCACAAGAGCGCATAACTAAGCAGAGAACTTACACTTCATAAAATCTCAAAAATTCTTGCTCTAGGAACTGCATTTTCCTAACATTCACAAATCCAAAGCTTTTTACAGTTGAAATAAGGAGTACTGAAATAAATTTGAAGTGGGTGAAGTGATGTTGTAAAGTACTCTTAAATCTTGAGCTAGGCTATCACATAGTTTGGAACTTTATAATGTATGTAATTCCAATGCACTAATAAAATCCTGGATCAATACTCCAGATAGAGGAATAATTTAATGATTTAGAGGCAATTAACAGTTTGCCAAGTGTATTGTATAAAAATGATAAAGATTTAGTCTCACCCCTGTCTGTCACTGCTGTTTTGATCCTGTACTCCTTGTGTGCCTTTCCCTATCATCTCTTCCTGAATTTTTCTTTCTTACATGTAGACTTTATTTCCTTTGATTCATGTATTTTAATCTTTATCCCTTACTTTTCATGTTGTGAATTATTGTGGGGGGGGGGTGGGATTTGTGTTTTTCTTTTGGTACATTTGAGGTCCAACTATTTCTGTTTTCCCTCTATGGACTTATCAGCCTCTCTGCTGAACCAGGTAGTGTTTCAAATGGAACCTTTGATTTGGTTGCAGGTTTCAGGTTATGCACTAGGTTGCAGATGAATTTTCACTTGCAGACTTTAAAAGCGGTAAGAATAAAAAAAGAAACCAACAACTCCGAAGCTTGTCAGAGAATTCTGCACTAATTCAGCACCAGAGCACAAAGACTGACACATGGAAAACAGACCCTACCTGACATTTTGGATGTCAAAGAAAAGGGAGAAGCTAACTGGGTTAAAGAGGAAAATTGAGGAGGGAGTGCACACACTGCAGTTGTGGTTAGGTGACACTGAAAAATCTTGTGACTCATTTTCCCAGGATACAAGCAACTTCTATGATTTCCATGGGAGATGACCATATTAAAGTAGAGTCCTTATAGAAGGACTGTTGTCATGCTCTGTTTATAAAAGCAAGAAAATCTCTGACAAAGCTGCAAGCTGAGCTGAAACCCTCACCACATAAGTGTGGTTTGGGTTTTGTTTTTACTGAGTTAATGTGCTTGTAACAGTTGTAGGTCCCTTTCAGCTCGTGTTACATCTTTGTCCTTCCCCAAGAAATCTATCTGCTCCTGCCTCACCATTTATCTGGTTTAGCTTCTTTTTTCACATCTTTTTAACCATCACTTTGCTGTTAAGCCAATCAAGCTCCCTCCAGGTGCTTAGTGACACTCAGCTGCACTGGTATATATCATATTCTCTTCCCGATGCTGTATATTCTTTCAAAACCCTACACATCCTGCTTTATACTAGCTTGTTCTGGACCTCAGTAAAGGACAGAATTATTAGCATGGATACAGGAGATAATAAGGATGGATGCCAAGTATGGAAAGATGCCTAGAAGAGGGAAAATCATGTGGTAAAGGACAAGACTTTTGGGACAGCTTGCTTTCTCACATTTGTAATTGTTTGCCAATGCTGGACCCAAGTTTCATGTGTATTTAGGAGTATTGTATATAAATGTATGTTTATGTATGTATATATTTATGTATGTACAGATATGCGTTATGTGTATTTCTAAGGAGCCTACTCAGCAGAAGTGTGAATTTTTGTTTGTTTCCAAGTAGAGCATGCTAAAAAAGGTTCAATGCTACACTTGCACTTTTTTTTCCCCTTAGTGTTGAGAAAATGAACACGTCTCCTCTCATATATAACAAATATTTTATGTTAATCAGTGTTTGCAAATCATCTGCTAGAATTTTTGATTTAGAGAAGATTTTGCCACTGCCAAGGAAAACTTTGTGACAAAACCAAGTAAATGCATCTACATGTGGCTAATGCTTTTTTTGTTTAATCCGTTTTTTTTTTTATATGGATTTAAAAGGTTCATAAGAGAAGAGGCTGTAAAGCCAGATCTCTTCAGGTACCTACATGCTGCTCACCAGCATGTGTACATGGAAAGATTATGCAATAAACCATTTCTTGCAGAAACCCCCTGCTGTTTTTTTATAGCATTAATACCGCTGTAAATTGATTCCAGTTTTGGTCCCCTGTAAGCCAGGGCCCTGGGAATATTGTCCTGCCAGTCCCGCCTCCTCCCAGCCCTGCTATTAATCATGACTTGCCTGTCTTGAAATCTCCCACGGTTTGGTCACAGCTCCAAGGTCACAGGCTGTCATTAGCATTGATCTGAAAAACAGAAATGAACAATACAAGCTGAATCAACCTTTGTTGTATTTCTAAACAACTCTGCTCTGAGTGCATAAATAAATAATACATATATAAAATGTCAGCCCTGGCACCATCTTTACCTCCAGAAAAGAATGACATGTTTGAAATCTCAGCCATCAGCATGGCTTTTGCATCACAATTGTGCCTAGGAAGCCTAATGTTTTGCAGGTCATCAGATGATGAATTTTGGTGTTGTGCTTTGCATGCTAGAAATGATATTGCAAGGGAGTTAACTGCTAATTTTGCAGTACTTCTAACACGGTTTATATTAATACCCGTAATATACTGGAAAGCATGTGCTTCACATGATATAAGTTAAGGGTATTATTATATAATAACACCTGCAAACTGGATTAATTTATATGCCTATTTGTAAAAGTGACTGCTGTAGCAAGAGAACCTATAATCACAGGAGGCAACCCAGACACTGTTTAAGCAGTTTCTACTGCTCATCTACAATAAAAATTTAAGATTTACTATGAGCTATACTGTTCCACTGTAGTTTAATACCCAGCTACAGCCATGTTTTATATGCATTAGGAGAAAGAAACCATTCAGCTGTAGAAAGCGTTTATGTACAGTACATGATGCAGATAAAAGTCTAAGAAAGTTTAAATGAAGAACAAGGGCACTGAAAATGAAACATCAAATATATTGCCTGAATCTAAAATTAGGAATGGGTGAAATGATATGGAAAATAGAAAATGGCCAATGTTTTGGTCAAAAGACCAAGTGGAAACAGAATTCAAATGAAATTTCAGATAAAATGAGACATAATCAGGCATGCATATGCAAATGCACACATTTTATTGTCTCAAAAGCCTGGTATACTCAAACCACCCACAATGTCTGAGGTTTTCAATAGGATGCATGCTCAGATCATTTTTGAGGGCTAGAAGAGTACCGTGTATCTGCAAATTCCCAGGTACAGACTAGAAGAGCAGAGAGAAGCATGGCCAGTGAAAGAAAACAGCTGAGAGGAGGAGGGAACAGGGACAAGAAAGATCTTTGTGTCCTGAGGCAGAATACTGATGCTTTCTGGAGAAAGAGCAGAAGGGCTGAGCGGTAACTGGTGAGGCTGGGAGAAAGGGAAGAAAACATGACAGTGTCAAGGCAGAAACAGGAATGGAGAAGGTGAGGTCACACTGATTACATCCTTGCTGTTTGGTAATGTTTAGAAATCATACCATATATTTCTTGTCATGAATCATATAGTTAAAACAAGCTATCTTATCTTGTTACTCTAAGTCTTCATGATATATGAAATTCCTTAAACAAATATGGCTTTACTTTGAAATAACCAGAAAGCAAGAAATATTAGTGCTCACCGAAATATTTCTCGGTGGTTTTTTGTCTTCCAGTCATAACCACCCTTTCTGACAAGTTCAAAAAACTCGGTCCTTCTCCTGCAACAAAACACATTATCAGAGAAGGAAATGACACTTTCAGGGCAACACTGCAGTGGAAGTACAGTTCTCTGGATGACATGAAATCATTGCACCTCATGTATTATTTTTAAAGTCATTATACTGACAGTCCATTTAAGCGAAACATACTAATATCTGAACATGTTCTATAAATGTCTGTTACCAATGTCAGAGTTGCCTAGTAAAAGCAATACTGTATTTATGGTCTCTGAAGATAAGGAAATAAATGGTACCAAAATGTTCAATCATCCATGGAAGCATGAAATGTTCAGCTACAGCAGTGGACAGACAATAGAAACACCCCTGAAATATTTACACACTTCTCTTTACTTGTCTTTGCAAAATGGCTTTTACTTCTGTATCCCGGAGGGTTTGTCAGAGACGCACAATTCCTGTTATTTCCAGCACACAGAACAGAACAGTGAGACACAGGAGCTGCAGGTGTTTCACGTTAGTAGTTCTTAATTGACTAGAAACTAGGTCTCCCTGCTTGGTTCCGTGCTTTGTCTTCTTGAATATCTTCCTTGCGTCCTCAAAGAGGGACAAAACGTGAGCCAGGGCATGTTAATGCTTGTTTGGTGCCTTTAAGTACCAAAATTCTGACTCACCATAGCCTGTAACTTTTTATGGCACTGAGACTCTGAGCAGCTCTTACTGCATGCAGCATGGCTACAATATGAAACAGATCCTGACCCAGATATAGCAGAACTTGAGGTATAAAAATATGGAACAACTTGCCCACGCAATGTATTAGCATCAAAGCTGGAAAGCAGATACTTGTGTTCTGAGTAACAGTCCAGTGCCCCATCTCATAGGAGATTCTTTGTTAACTGAAAATGTAGTTCGATTCCCCAAGAGTGAGTTTGCAGAGTCTTGTATTTATTTTCTACATTAACTTCATCATATTTTGAACAGTGATTATTGAAAATAGTCTGACAGCAGCCAGCACAGGTTTTATACCCGAGGAGATTCACACTGCCAGGAACATTGCCCTTGCTCAATGGACAGTATTTTATGTGGAATATGTTCCATTGTTCTGGTTCCTGACTGTCATACATTGCATCACCAGCAGTCACTGCTACTGTAGGGCCTTTCTATAATGGATTTCATAACAGCAGCTAGAGCAGAGAGATATAAGGATACATAATGGTATCTAATCCTTCATGAAATAAGATATAGGAGTTTCACATTACAAAATTTGCTGGGACAACGCAAAGCCACACATGCAGAAAACAATTCAGTTCTCTGACACAAAGGCATAGCATCATGGCTCCAGTGGAAATAACTGCTGCAACAATGACAATCTTAATGGCCAAGAGCAGTTGGCACATAAAGCTAAAACCAGGCTAATCCTGACCAGATCGTCAATAACTAGACACTCTAAGAGAGCAAGCAGTGGATTTTTCCATCCTGTATTTCAGTGCCCAATCTAACAATGCAAAATTTGGTAATGATTTATAGAATCATAGAATAGTTAGGGTTGGAAAGGACCTTAAGATCATCAAGTTCCAACACCCCTGCCATGGGCAGGGACACCTCACACTAAATCATATCACCCAAGGCCTCGTCCAGCCTGGTCTTGAACACCGCCAGGGATGGAGCATTCACAACCTCCCTGGGCAACCTATTCCAGTGCCTCACCACCCTAACAGGAAAGAATTTCCTCCTTATATCCAACCTAAACTTCCCCTGTTTAAGTTTTAACCCATTACCCCTTGTCCTATCACTACAGTCTCTAATGAAGAGTCCCTCCCCAGCATCCCTATAGGCCCCCTTCAGATACTGGAAGGCTGCTATGAGGTCTCCACGCAGCCTTCTCTTCTCCAGGCTGAACAGCCCCAACTTCCTCAGCCTGTCTTCATACAGGAGGTGCTCCAGTCCCCTGATCATCCTCATGGCCCTCCTCTGGACTTCTTCTAACAGTTCCATGTCCTTTTTATGTTGAGGACACCAGAACTGCACACAAGTGGGGTCTCACAAGAGCAGAGTAGAGGGGCAGGATCACCTCCTTCGACCTGCTGGTCACGCTCCTTTTGATGCAGCCCAGGATACGGTTGGCTTTCTGGGCTGCAAGCGCACACTGCCTGCTCATGTTCATTTTCTCATCAACCAACACCCCCAAGTCCTTCTCCACAGGGCTGCTCTGAATCTCTTCTCTGCCCAACCTGTAGCTGTATTTGAAGTATTAGATGTTCTGGGCAATTCATATATTAACGGACAAAAACCAGGTAAAAACGCTTAAAGCTGAAAGCTCAGGAAGGTGACATCTCAGAAACTTCAAACATTCACATTTGAAATAGAGCGATCCATAAACAGTAACTGAAAACGTGAGTCTCAAGGCCGTATGTTAGGCTAAAAACTTTAAAATAAGAATTTTCTTTTGAAATCCATTTAAATGAATGCAGGAGGAGTAGTCCAGTTCCACAGAGAATTTCTAGTGTAGGAAGGAGTTAGCCTGAGGAAAGTAGCCATGGTACAAGGAAAAATTTTGTGTTTCCTACTGGTTGCTTATGCATGGTATCCAAAATGAAGAGGTTTGCTATTATTAAGCAAACATAATACACCAGGATTTCAGAAATAAACAGAATTATAACAATTTTGTAATATCTTTGAGTAACATTAACTCTGGCTAGATTTTGCCTGGAAGGGAAAGTTGTCTTGCTATATACAGCAAATCCAGTTGCTCTACAGCCCAGTGGCTCAAGACATCATTTGAGTGAATTTCCATAAACTTCATTTTCGTTCCATGCTTTTGCTTCTTGTACTATCTACAAGCATCATTATCTAGAATTATCTATTAAAAAGAAGTATATTTTCCATCTGGTATTTCACTGAAAACCATCTTTGTTTGTAGAAAAGTAGTGTCTTGAGAAGGTTCTAAAGCTTTGGTCTGCCTGGAGTTTTGTTCCTGTTTAGCAAGCTGGAGTTTGCTATCATTAGGTTTAGGCATTCTAAGAATACTGATACAAGAATTTCCTCCTCTGCAAGAGTATTGAAGATGTAGCAAACTGAAGAAACAAGGTACTTGTGTGGAAACATCTGTTAACATAGAGAGGCATTAAGGATTGTAAATCATTGTTTCCAGGGAGTGATTTTTAGGCACTTTTGGAAGTAAAGTAGCATAACAACTACCAGATTAATGAATCATAATAACACTAGAGGAAAAGATAACTCATTTGCAGACTTCTGAGTAAAGAGGCCTCATTTGCTAAAAGTTTTCTGATCCATGTAGCACATAAAATCAATTATGCAAGCAAAGAAAAATAACCTTGAAATTCACCTGATGTTCCTTTTTTGGACATTATTTCCCTGATTTAAAACTAGAAAGACAACTTGGCCATGGAGTTTTTCAACCTAAGGCAGGCAGAGAAGAGAATTCCGTCACATCAGGGTCTGGACTGGGTTTCCTCCCAGGACGCTGCCATGGGCCCTCTCTGGCTCTTTCAGGGGCTGCAGGATCTTGGGCAGGGGGAACATATGGGGCTGTGCCAGGGCAGTCGCCCTCTCAGCTCCTGCCACTCATCTCTTCCTTGACAACACAAAACATTTCTGCAGCACTTGTTATTTGTGGTGAAACAGGAAAACCCATACTCATATATCCCTGTGGTCCTTTTATCTCACTTCAAGCTGTCAGCAAATTCCCATCATACCAGCCACCCAGGTAAAGAGCAATCCTAACAGACAGCTTCAAAAAGAATATGCTTAAAAGGGGTTATTAGTTTTACTCAGGATTTTCCTGTCAGCAAGAGAAATTTCTTCATAGACTATGTTCTAATGTTCTAATGTTTAGAAGTTATTTATAATAAAACTGTTCACTAAAAGCCTTTCTTAATACAACTTTTCTGACAACAGTTGCAGGAAACAAAAAATGTCAGCATGCCTACTGCCAGTACTGTTTAGAAACAGCCCTTGGCACAGTAACCAAATACTGCGGAAAAAAAGACAAAGTAAACATTGCAGCATCTCAGTATTTTTACAATTAACAGTTAAAGACACAATGTTGATATAGATATTTGAACAATCTCAAGGCATAGACTTTACTTGTTTTCTGGAAACTTGGTTTGGTATAAACCATGAGCACAATGGAGGGACCGAATCCAGGTATACCACCCAAAGGAAAACATTATAAATGCTACCGGCACTATACAGGAGAGGACACAAATGGACATAAAAAAAATCCTAAGGATGAATTATTGTCAAGACTAGGAAGGTAGTATGCAGAAACTGTGCATCCAGCAGCACTTCTCCCTGTAAGTCAGACTGTCTGTGCCAGAGGGGGATGTCAAAAGCCCAGTGTGCCGGTGATACCATGATTCTTCTGATCACATGTACAGTCACACGCATACTTACTAGGGAGAACTTGGTAATAATTAGCAGTATTTGAAAAGCATAAAATACCACCAATTTGCTTTCAGATTTGATTTGTAAACAAGGAAAAGGAAGAAAACTGGATGAAAGAGAGTCTCTTGAGTTAAGCTTTTTAAGACCTATACTCATGTAATGCAAATTTACATAAATTGTCTTCAAAACAGCAATGTGTATGCTTTCATTACCTCTGCAGCTGGGTCTGTAACTAAATACAGTATTTCTTAGCACACGTTTAGAAACAGAAATGGTGGAAAAAAATTAAAATGTTATTTTTTTTTTATAGATGCCTCAAGGAATTATCATAGAAGGGATAGAAAATTACAGCACTGAGCTGTAACTGGCTTAAAAGTATAAGTCTAGAATTTCACTTGCTTTTTGTTGATGCAGTCATGTTACACATAAAAGCAAATCTTACTTAGCCTAATACGAATATCTCAAGTGCACAAGATATACTAAGTATTAGACTAAATCTGTTCAACCACAGGTTGAAACACTAATTTCTCATATTATATACCCTTATTGGTATTTAATAGGTCATTAGAGTAAATTCTTTGAATTTTCATTTGTCAAATACGAGAAATGCCAATACTTACTCAAAATACAGAGTGAGGTCTGTTGCCAATATCGACTGCTTTAGAAGCTGCATAAGGTCACTGTAGTCCTTAGAGGACAAGTTAGCAAAGATGTTGTGACCCTATAATGAAAGAGATAAAAGAGGTAAAGTGCTAGCAATCAATAAATGTTTATAAAAGGTTTTCTAACTCTTTAGTCTACTGTTTCCCTCTAACCGAGGCCTTTTCTGATTCATGGCAAAACTATGACAAAAAAATAATGTTAATACTGCTGAGATTACATTGGGGTGGAAGAGTTGACAATTGTAATCAAGTGCCTGCACTGTTTTTCTAAACTCTGCTGAAATTATAGCCTCTTGAGGAAAGATTTACTCTTTGCTCTGACCCTGCAGAGATTCAGTTTATGAGGAAAAACTATGGACACATCTCAATCTTTTCTCTTATAAAATGTTTTGGGTAGCAATGTCTTGCAGCTTTTGAGTTGTGCGCCTAATAGATTTATCTGTGCTGCTGCTTGCAGGCACACAAACTGCTATTAGAGCAGTCAAAGACATTAAATCAGTTTTTCGTTCAAAACAGTCCACATGCTCACTCTGCCCATTACTGCATTGTCTTACAGTGTATACAAGCATTGCCTATGCAGACTAAAAACCCACAACTTTATGCAGTTTAAATGCCCTTTGTAGGCCAGATAGGCTACTTTTTAAGGGATCGTGGATTAAGAATTTGAAAGGTGCTCTGTGGCCAGAATGAAACAAATTATTTAATATTGGTATTTCAGAGCAGGAAGGTCCATTTGTAACTGCATTTCTGAAAACTGAGAGGGACAGAGATCCTGTAATTTATGAAATCCTAGAGAAAATAAATAAACAATTTGAATGGAAAACTCTAAATGTAAGCTGAAGAAGTGATCTTTGTGACATTAGTCACAGGTAACTAAATTGACATAAATAAAAGCACTACCCTTTTCTTTCCCCCCCCCCCCAATCACCTGTAGAAACAATGAGGTTCTTGCTAAAGAGTTTTATTTTGGTGATATTTAGCACTGTAATGCACACATTCAGTATGCGCTGCCACCTACTGCCTAGGAAGATTAAAATGCACTTAAACCCAAGAATTTTCCAGCAGGGGGATTGCTATAACTCTGGTGGTCTGTGGACATAGTCAAGGTAAGGTCGAGGTAGAGATAGTATTTTTTAATAGATCAGGTAGTGTTTGGACTAAAAAAATATTTTGCCATTCATAAGAGATGATCTCTGCTGTGACAATGAAATGATTATTTCTTTTCACCTAAATATTGAGAAGGATTTAAGAATCTAAAGCTTATTTATTAGCAAATAGGATATAAATTAATTTCAGTTTATTTAAGAGAGGAGACTGACTGCTCAGCTGGTGAATTTTTAAGTGAATCTTGGTGTATTTTTAAATAAATTGTAGGATCCAAAGTGAAAAGTGCAGTGTCCCATTAGCAAATACAATCTATTGAATTAAAAATCACGTAGGTTTATTTTTCTGGTCTAGAAATGAGGACCTGGTGAGGACTGAATGGTCAAAGGGGAGGACCTGTATTTAACTTGCATTTGTCTTCAGACTTGATCCTGTCTTCAGAGAAATATTCAGTTACAATGAAGATTTCAGGAACCAGAGAAATCACTGTTTCCCAGGAAGGCTTGTTCCAGGGACTGGACAATCTCATTGGTTTAGAAAAACAAAACAAAACAAAACTTCTTTTTTCCTATTCTAAACTGGTCTGTTTAACTTTCAAATGCTGTTTTTTCTTATGCCTTTCCCTGGTAGTGTAAGGAACCATTTAATTCCTAGGATCACCTTTTAGACAAGCTAGTCTAGGCCGAGCAGATTGAGCTATTTAGATCTCATACGAGTCCTCCCCTTTCCTACGTCTGCTTTTTTAATATGACGTCTAGTAAAAGCCACAGTCCCATGACTAATCTCTGTGGCTCTGTACATAGAGGGAAGGCCATCACCCTGTCTCCACTTGTGACCATGGGACATTCCGAGATGCTCTTCAAAAATTACTGCAGATCAGCATATGGTCTCCAAGTGTGCTGTATGCATAACATTATTGTTTTTATGTATACTGGATGCATTCTGTAACAAGCTAGCTGTGTAAACTCAGAAAACACATCCTTCTTTTCTCACTGTATCTCTGAGGTAGTGCATGCTGCATACTGTTACACATAAGATACTCTAGACAAGAAATATGTCTTTATATCTATCTGCAAAACAACTAGTGTACTTCAGACAGCATGATATTACTGATATTTTTTCATAAATAATTAAGAAAAATTATGTAAAACTATCATGAAAATACTGATTACAAAAAGACTGTCAAATAAAGTAAATTTGTCCAGTCAAGGATGACTGTGATACTCTGAATACAAGACCTGTGTGGAAATGTAAGAGGTTGTTTCACCTACCTATAAACCATTGTGCAGGATATATGTAAAAAGGCTGAGAAAAGCTGACAATATGGTTAGGATTTGTTTGCCTTGCCCCTAGCTGATTGAGACAAATACAATCTCTGGGCTCTATGATAAGCATTTGTAGTTGTTTAATTTTGTGCTAGTTGTGACCTTGTGGTAACCAATAAATAACTCTTCAAGGAGAGGGCATTAAAAAGGTACTGTGTGTGGTATTTCCTTTCTCCAGCTGAAACTGCCCAACAGCTTACAGTGAGATTAATAGTAACGCTTTTGTACCTCACTTTGGAGAATCATGACAGCATGATTGAAGTGGTGGTGTTCCAAGGTAGCAGAGGTGCCGTAGAGCTGAGCTAAGGCTGATCCACTCCTGAAACAGAACATGGGGAGTCAACAAATACTGCATGTGTCTGTTTACGAAGCAGGTTTCAGAGATAGTTTAGTAACAAAAGCATGTAGCTATATGCTCCCTCTTCATTTCAACAACCACAGAGAGTTGACAAGATCAAAATACTAATTTAAAGACAAAGAATTTATGTTACAGACTTTGCTAAATATTATCCGCTGACTAAAGATTTTCCTGGAACTAATGAATGAAATTTTGTAATGTAACTCTCAAAGTGCCTTGCAGTGCAACAGCACAGGCACACCACTGCGCATTAAAGACAAACAGTAACATCCCTGAGCTAGGAGTGGCTGTTTTGCTACTGTTTTTAATTCTTAATAGATATAAACACAATGGCTTACAATAGGTGATTGCAAACTCTTAAGAAAATCCAAAACACAGCAACAAAAAATCAACTGCAAATGCAGTGAGGTTCTGTCTGCATGTAAAATATTGCACTTAAAAAAAAAAAATACAAAGGTAAACAAAAACCCACAAGTGATAACAGTGAATATAAAAGTAAAGTTTAGCATCTTTTGGAATGTATTTTCTCATCATGTTTATTGTCTAAGCCAAAATTAGCTTCAGAATGCACAAAGCAGGTCAGTTTTCTAAGTCTGAATAACAAAAAATCTATAGAATACAATTATAAAATTGTGAATCATTAGGAGATGCAGAGAATGGGATTGGATTGTCAGAATAGTTACCATTCACCATGACTTCACTTCTGGGATCTAAAGCAACAACATGGGTTTTCTTTCCAAAGAAATGAGAATAAGAGATTATTACACTAGAGACAAACAGAAAGAGGCTCCTAGGACCATATACTATAAAACTGCATCATATTGATATTTAATTATCAGAAGCGGCTATATTAGAAAGAAGGATGTCCAGGAAACATCATCCCTCGAGAATATGGTGTTGAGATATATAGCAGAGCCAATTCAGACAACTGCGATACTGCCTCCATCATATACCTCTTGAACTTTCATCACACAGAACAGCAGTATTAAACACTGAAGATAAAATAAGAAAATGTGATGCTTAAATTTATGTCAGGTTAGAGGAATAAATCATAGCTGCTGTTATGAAAACTACAGCTTCTGTTTTCAGGGATGTTTTATGCATGTGTGGTAATGTTTGTCTTTTGTTAAATGTCTTCGGCAATTTCTTGATGGAGTCGTAAAATGGCAGCCTCCTCTTCGTACTCTGCTGTCAAACAAGTGATAGCAGTCTAGTGCCGAAACCTCTGCCTTTAACTCAGCCACCCCTCTACACAAAAGTAGTGTTACAGTGGAGAAGTGGTTAACTTAATCAGAGCCTAAAACAGTCAGGATGTAAATCTTCGGTCTTGGTTTTTTTAAATTAGGAATGTAAACATCAATCAGCTGAGCTTCCTTCCTATTTGTCTCCTCTTTTTTGATTTTCTTCAAGACTCAGCTGCAAAAAGGCATCTAGCAGTGCTTGGTAACCTTTGCACCATAAGCTCTGTCTTTTGAGCACTGCAATTGATTTTCCTTGCTATGGTGATTGAAGATCCAGACAGTGTCATTGTTTCATTGAGACTGTACAGCAACACCAATAGCTCAGGAAATGGCAGCTTAGTGAGTATCAGAAATATCAGTTTGAGTGATGTTCACTGAGGCAGCTTGCCCCCAGAAATGCAGCAGCCCATGCATAGACACAGTGCAGCAGAGTTTTTCTGCAAAAGGTAGGACAAAACAGGCTAATGCAACATCACCTTGCCCTTCAAGTATCTTTAGACAGCCATTTGGCCGCTTCTCCTATCACACTAAGGGTTAGCAGTAATGCAAAACACACAAAGCTGAAAATACATGACGGGATCTGCAGGACAAGAGGGCCTAAAAGTCTTCTATTCTGGCTGTAGAAGACCTGGGAAGCCGAGAAAACAACACAGGATTTGGAGGAGTCACTGTGTCTGACAGATTTGTTTCACAGCTCGGCCAGGATGTTGTCAGGCAGTATTTTTTGTTGTCCCTCCCTGTTCTCAGGGAACATGGATTTTGGAAAGAAGTTGACCTCTGTTAAGGGAGTTCCCTCACCACCACAGTAAGAAGAACCCTCAAAACTTCCACAGCCTGCTTCTACCTCACTGTATCTGAGGGCAGCAGACTGGACAGCAAAAATATATTCAGGTCATGGCAGGTGAATCAGGTCATAGGCACTTTGAATAAAATAAAATCCATTTTTAGAATTGAAAACAGCCTGGAGAGTAAGATTTCACATAGGTAAGAATCTGCATTTGAGATCCAGCTTCATGTTCTGGTGCCCAGTCCCCCCACCCCCCCCCACCCATTGCAGCATGTCTCTGAACAGGCTCTATGTGCTTTGGTGTGTGGGACAGGCCAGGGAGGAGGCATTTCTACTGGCCAGGGACACTGCATGCTGCACAACTGATGAGTATGTGGTGAGACAACTGCTCCAGGCACCTGCTGTGGATGATATGTATCAGAACCAGGAATTTATGTCGGCTTGCCTACGCTGGTGTGAAAGGGTTTTTTTTTTTGTGAAAGCATTATTTCAGTTTTACATATTTTCTTCATAATAGTTGAACAGCTTTTGCTTAACATCAGGCATTCCAACAAGCAGGAGCAACCCAGACAGACACTTCCATTTTTTCCTGGGTTGAATACCAGAATCAATAATACCCAAGCCTGAAGAGAACATCAAGTTTTGGCACCACATTTCAATACACAGCGTCAGTTCAACAGCCTAATACAAATGACAAGCCAGCAATTATCCAAAAGAATAGAGAATGATAAAGATGGATAGTCCCTCACTACATACAAGAATAAGAATAGCTGGCCTTGGCCCAGGAAACCTGAAATTAATCCCTCATTCTTTATCCTGGTCACTTTTTGCTCTTCTGTGGAAGAAAAACAAATTAAAGTAATAAGAATTAGAAAACTTACTTGGCTTGGAAGGCATTGTTGGTTCCCCTGTGGTCAAGGTCGTGACATAAGCATCCCACAATCAAAGCTAGAATTTCAATTTCAGTTAGAATCTCCTGAAATCCTGCAGTCTGAGGGCAGAAAAAAAATAGCAGCTGTAACTATCAGTATCGAAAGCGATAAGTAATGTTAGACCATCGAGCAACAGTCAAGTTTGTTTTGATACCATGAATGTTTCAGTAAGGAGAAGATAAATGCTTTATTGTCATATTATATTCCCTGCTGTATGTTAGATGGTTAGCAGAACAGATAACGTCCTTGGAGTGATCTGTTACTATCTCTCTGTTGCATTTTCAGCGTGTCATTTCTCTACTTCCCAGAAGTCACTAAAGGCAAAAAGAGCTGAAGACAAACACCAATAAGTGCACACTAAGACAGGAACTGGAATTTCATATCAGAGAAATAAAAAACAAAATTCATTTCATTTTGAAATTATTGTTCGGAGGAGTAGTTAGACAGATTTCTTCAATCATGAGGTGACCATCTTCGTCAATCCCTAGTGTCACAGATAGCCAAGATGTTAAATCAAAAGACCTATAAAGGAAGCCAGCTAAAATATGCTCTATGGAACTGTTATGAACTATTAAGAAATTTTTTATCTGGGACATACGAAATGAAGCAATATGATTCAAAGAGGAAATCTGGCATATTTCTGCTGCAGATACCTACTTGAATTCGGGAAAGAATTTTGAAAACTGATGTACTGAAATTTCCCATGAGCAGCTCAGACCAGATATGACCATGTGAAGGGGGAGGATCATCCTACAAACATTTTTTGCCACTATACTTCTCCATGTGGATACTTGCCACAGCAGTTTTCCTGCCTGAACTGCCCCATGTCAGAAAATAAACACTACTGTTACTGCTAACCTCAAGCATCCTGAACAGATCTTGCCTGGAGGAGGTGATGGAGCCTGAGTGGGACACCACCTCATTGGTGCTGCACATCTAACCATCAAACCACCTGGTTCTTCACCTCTTCTGAAGCATAAAGACATATTGCCTGCAAAAATAACTGGCTGAGTTGGAAAATCATAACATTTGTCTTTTCACAGCGCCATTCTCTAATGACACACCTCAACTAGCCACACAATCTAGTTAGTATGAAAGGAAATGGTATAAAACAAATATAAAATAGATGTATATTGGACCAAACCAAGGCTGAACACTAATAGTACTTAAGAAATCTTGAATTCCATTGATTTTTAATAGAGTATAATTTCACTCACTGGCAAGAAGAGGGTGATACAAAGATGGTGAAGATCAGTGGGACTTGATGTCCGTACTTGGTAGAACTTACAGCCCACTCGGAAATGCCAGTCAATTGCTGCAATACCATGTGAAAACTCTTCTGTTCACCTTGAAGACCACAAATTCCACTTAAATAAATGCACATTCAAATCCAAATAGCCTCTGTTTTCATAGTCTGAAATGTGGCCATAGTTAATATTTAGGCAGTACAGGGAGCCAAGCTCCCTCAGGTGCTCAGAAATGCATTTCAGCAGGAATTGAGGAAGTGCAGGACTTGCTACAAAAGCTTCAGAGTTTTGCCGAAAGTTTACATATCGGAAAAGATGGTCAAATATAAGGAAAAATTATTTCTTTCATGTAAAATCCACTGGTATACAGAGTAACTTGAATGTTAAGAGATTCTCCTGATTCCTAGGGCATCACTTTTTTTAGTTTCAGTAGCAGCTACCCAGGCAGAGGAAATTGTCTAAAATGGAGAGTTTTCTCTTTTTACTTTTTAAACATTGCTCTTGTGTAACAATTAATAATCATGGTCTATTTTTTAAAAAGGAATTAACCGTAACTGACATCGTGCCATGTGTCAAGATTCAATCTAGAGAAAATGTTCACAGCTAAGTTAAAACAACTTAAAATAGAAATTTTATAACATGAAATTGATGGTGTAACAAGTAGTCTTTAGTATTCATTTAGCTTTGATTAAACTCAAGCATTCAACCTGTATTGCAAATACAGGAAAGCTGATTAAGAAATTTATTAACAGTAGCAATATCTCAAAAATAAAGGCAAGATTTTATTTAAGCAAAGGTCTTGTCATTGAATCTATGAGAGAAATATGCATATTTCACTTAATAAAAAACATTTAATTTAAAACAGTGTTACGGTAAGGGGATATCTGCTTTGACCATAATGTAAGAAAATAGAGGATTATGTTTCCTCATGTTTTGAATTTACACAGGGAGAAAAAATACATGGCTATAGCTGATTGTGCAGTAAAATTCATTTTCACCAGAAAACGAATGACCCATAACTCATGAGTGGCAGAGTCTCCAGTGAGTTATAGAGGTCATTCTTTCATGTGAGGAAATGAATTGCATTCATTATACCTTGTCCCACATATATATGTTTTGTTATTAGCACAGCAGATGGGATTTTAATTTTGTATTGCTTACTTGTTCATTTTTACTTTATGAAACAAGTGTCAATGTGAGCTGTGTTAGGCAAAGGCATTCATAATGAAGCCTGGGATTAATCCTGCACTTTAATCTCATGTGACATCCTTAACTCGCAGGAGCAGTCTTCCTTCAGTCCTTGTCTTCAGAATATTTGGGTAAGTCTGAAATACGGAAGTACAGCTTGCAGGACTGGGCTTATAATTGCTCAGTCTCTAACCGGAGATAGAAAATACATACTTTGATAAACAAGAACATACCTTAGATATGCAGAAGGCTGATCCAGGGGTGAAACAACTGGTTTAAACTTTGTTTGCTTTCTGTTGTTTGGCTTTTCAACCCAGCTGAATTTTCCTTCTGCATTCAGTGAGAGCAGGTGGGGGCCATTAGAAGCTACTGCATTACACATTAGACATTATTGTGCTATGGTAAAGCTACCTGGAAATGCCCTAAAATAGACCTATTGGCTTCTATTTGTGGTGCAGGCAATATGCTGACTGTTGTAGAGAAATCAGGAATAGGGTGCAATAACTGCGCAGAACACTGCCTTCTTGACCATCAGAGCCCCTCTACGACGGTCAAGGAGTTTTGCCTTTTTTGCAAGTGGATAAACAAGGTGCATACTAACTTGGAGGGTTTCCCCAAGACAGCTGCAGTAAGAGCAAGCCTTGTGCTATTACTAATCTCTTGACTCTCTCTTTTGTGCCTGTTTTTTTTTTTTTTTGGCAAGATGAGTCTTCCTACCTCTGGAAGGGAGAAAAGCACAAGCAGGCCATACACTGAACTCACTCTGTTCTCAGCCAGAGCCACAGCAGAGTGGGGTGGGATACATGGTGAGACCAATGCCATGGGCACATGCAGCCAAGCCCTGCACATGGAATTGCTCATTCAGTTTACTACTGGAAGCGTGTGAAATAAAATGAGCTAGGCTTGAAAATGCTCCCACAGACAGTTGCATCCCTGTGCCGACTGCTAAAAGAAACCCAAAATTATGCTTTGAGAACTACAGTCAAAGCAGTTTATGGCTGAGACCTCGCAGGCTTTTACTGGTGGCTGCTGGAGCAACAGAGATGTGCTTTGCTGCAGGCAGTGTAGTCACAGCTATCTGAGACGGAGATGCCTAGTGGGAGAGCACGTTTCCCACCGAAGAACAGCCTGCCCAAAACGTGGCCTCGGCGCTCCACCTAGAGGTCCTCATGGGTGAGGCTTGAAGGCTCATGCGCTGGCAGCGTTTGACAGAAACTAGTCTAATTCCCAGGTGAATGGTGCTGCCTGACTTTACACTTACTTGTCTGAGTAGAAAGCTTTTCATTTTTCCATAACTGAAAAGAAAAAAGCATGGCAAGTTTATAAAAAGTTAAAAACGGCAGACGATTTCATTAGAGACCATCAGAAAGTGTCTGCTGAAACAACATCAGTTCTGGTCAGCTGAGCAGCCTCACACCCAGAAGTTCAACCTTTCTCTCTTGTTGAACACCTCGATTTCCTTTGGCTCATGTTGTATGGTAAAACTTTGTTACGCCTCCGTAAATGCTCACAGAAACAAACCCATATAGCTGGGATGGACCTAGCACTAGACCACATCTACTTGCATCATACTCTTTTTTTTTTTTTAACTTGCCTGACACAAAAAGTTCTGCCACAGAGATATGCCAAATGGAGGAGGACAGCTGGGAACCCATGCTCTGTGAGCAGGAAACAAGCCACAGGCTGTCTCAAGTCCCTGTAACACTGGCGCTGATGCATGCTGTGAATGGCACAGGTTGTGGGGTTTCCACTGCTGCAGACAGGGTCCAAATGCTAACCATGCCACAGAGACCAGCCATCAACAAGAACACAAGAATTAGGAAAGAAGCACATGATATTCCAGATAAATAAATACTTACACAAATGCTATTAACATGATCACTTTAAGGTTCACAATAGATGACTGGCCATTAAGACTGAACATGAAGAGAAAATGGAAAAACTTGAACTCTTATTTTTAACTGGAGATAAGGCAAACCCAAAATGCAAAGTACAGCAGTTAAGTGTTGTGAGCACATAGACATGTCGCTTCTCTTTTGCCATATTAACCAGAATATTAAACATCCAGGACCACCGAGGTTTATATCAACACATTTACAAGAATTAATTAGCCAAATGTGGGTTATTTATTGCAGCAAGGTTGCCGAGGGGTAGGGGAGAAAGAGCAAGTAAGAGTGGTGGTACTTGCATCAGAATTTACTGGTGTGTTGAAAGGAGTTAGAGGTACTGATGGAGATACATGTTAATCAAACTCAGAAATGTTACAGTGTCTGACAGAGATTCAAGATTCACTTAGATCATTCTGTTGGAAGATAATCTTAAAACGTTTTAAAGCAGTATGTTCTACAATTATTTAGATGAAGCTGGATAGAAAAGTAGTAAATATAAGCATAGGAAATACTTCTGAGATTCTAATCTTCTTTGGTTTTGTACTTCCCAATTTAAAAGTCCGAAATAAATGTCAAATCAAAGACTTCCAAAAGTAAAACATTTTTGTAAGATCAAGATCTATAATAACAAGCTCACTCCAAGACTGCCATCTGTTTTCAGTCACTTTAATGTGCTCGTGATATCACTGTCACTAAAACACTGTGAGGTTTTGCCAAATATATGCTGCCTTAAGTTGAATAGCTTCCGTGTGCACTTCTATTGGAAATGAATGAGTATCATAATAACTAAAAAAGAAATCAAATGCTGGAAAATGTGTAGACAGGTAAAGCAATGTGGCAGTAAAAGCTCCTGTGGGATTGCGTCTGTAGCTGGATACTCACAGTTAACATGGCAAACATTAGCTGGCAGACGTTGAAGGCATGCCTCCAGTTGTGGTACAAAACCATTCGATAATTCTTCCTAACAGTCAAAAGCCACCTACACAGCGTCTGAAATGAAAAGTACAAATTGTATCAGGGTTACTAAACGTGTACAAATGGACAGAGCAGTGCCAAGACAAAAGCAGCAGATCTCTCTGCAGCGCAGATGGTTACCTCATAGTCAATTTTAAATTTCTGAACCATTCCAAGTTCCATGAACATCCGCAGGGCTGCCGTAATCATGGCATCCACATCCAGCGAGAAGTCATCAAAATGAATGTCATCAATCCCAAGCTCTGACACCAGAGGGATGTTTGCTGCCTGGAAAAGCCAAAAGGAGAGGGAAACTTCTGATTCAAAACTTGGAGTTGTTTTCTGTGTCACTCTTGCAACCATCCATACATCAGTTCTGACCTGCCAATACATCCCCTGCTTGATTTGAATGCTGAGCAATAAAAGTCTTCATCAGAGAAATATGAACATGTCAAGCTAATGAGTAGACAAACAGAGGGAAGGAGAAGAACCTGGTGTGAGCAGGAAATATGCTCACCATTCCAACTTGAGCCCATATATAGCGTTTAGACTGTGAGAGCTGACCACTTTACAGCTACTGCAGTAATGCAATATATTCCAATGCAAATTACAATGCTGTAATGCAAGAAACATCTGGACAGCCAGCAGCTGGGAATTTTAATAGCTACCATTCAGAAATGCAAAGTAAATATACTGCTCTGCAGAATTTTTTCATCCAAATGTCTTTACATTCATAAGCATAAAGTGCCCTTTGCTTTACACTGCTTACTACACATCTGTAGAACCAAAAAAAAACAGAGTAATTAGAAGAAATCTAGCAGAAATACTTTTCAAAGTAAAACAAAACTTATTTTCAATATGCCGATTATGTAGTAAGCCAACAAACAACAGCAAAAGCCTTACATTTTGCTTTGTCCATGTAACAGCAGACTTTTGTTCTGTTTGTAAGAGCTCTTCATGCACACAAAACCTCAGTTGAGTGTGCAGGACTGGCTAATGCATACAGTTGTGCACACAGATGCGTTGTGGCTGGCCCAGTGGCAGCACCTGCAGGAGCCAGGCGGAGGTGCTGACAACCCTCATGGGCTTGTTTGCCCTTCCGTGCGCCCCTTCAGAGTTGTCACTTGTCTCCCTAGAGAGGGCAGGTGGAGGAGGCTGCATTTGTTGACAGAGCATCTGTTCCTTGTCTCCCGCAGTGAGAAGGTGATGGGTCAGGTAGAAACATCACAAAGAGGCTGTGTCCAGCCCACAGTCCATGAGATGGACCATGCTGAACTCATTAAAATCACATGGACTCAGCTGGTGTGGCACATGCAGCTACTCACTTGTATAAAATACCAATTTGTTCATGCAACTGTAAGTTCACCTTCACAGTTGCAACTTCTATGTGACCACCTTATGTGGTTTTTCCTTTTTGAAAACCTGTGTTTTGAAATACTGCATCCTAACTCCAAGTTACCGATGCGTAAAATGCTTTTTCTGGCCAAAGGGAAAATGCCATCTCAATAATTACTTCATGCAGAGATTAAGCTGGTTTAACTATACTGATGTAAACCTGACATAAAACAGTATTAACACGGCAGTGTTAAAGTATTTACTAGCTAGAATAAAAGCCTCTGCCGATCAGCACCTAGTAAGAGCATTCCAATACCACAAGAAGTTGTGGTATTACACCAGTGAGAGTAATGGACATAGGAAATCAAATCATTAAGTCAAGTGTCATCCCAGGACACAGCTGAACCACCTCTGGAGCATGCAGGCAGAGGTATAAGCTCTGTTAACTGCGTACTGACTTCGTCTGCAAGTGTACTTATCCAGGTTGAATCAATTCAGCATCTTTTTTTGTTTTTTTTTTTTTTTTTAATATATTTTGAAACATTTGAAATCCTTCTAGATGATCCCAACAGGAGTTACACCTTAACACCCTGTAAGATGTGACTGAGAAGCTATGTGTTTACTTCTGAGGCAAAAAAAGAAAGAAAACATGGTTAGGTGTGAAGGAGGAACCTGGGCCCAGGGATTGTGTTGTCCAGACCTTTAGCGGTCTTTCAGAAATTGTGACTTTTTTATCATTCAGTTATTCTTCAGAGCTTTGGGGGTACTTGAGATGCATGCTAATATTTAGTCTATGAATGCACTCTTTGCACAGTAAATGTGCTCTTCATAGAATGTCTCTGAGGGAAGAAACACGTTTGTCAACCTTGTTTGGTCCTTAGAAAGAAGTTTAAGTAACAGATGCTGAAAGAGAAGGACCTGATTGTAGGTAGACCTACTAGAAGCTGTTTTATTGAAAGTAGCTTTGCACACTTACCGCTGCATTTTCATTCACTTTGAAGTGGGCTCTAATTAAATTTGTCACATTTTTTGCCCTCTTAAAAGAAAACAGATATTTTCCTGGCTTTTTACTGGAAGCAAACACTTTTACCAGTCTGTTACAATTCAGGGAGAACACTTGAAGGAGTTGCTCAACTACAATTGTCTTTCCCTTTTTCAAACAGTGGAGAAATAACAGTATATCCCAAATCTATTATGAACCGAGCAACAGGATATTAACAAAGCAAGTCAAAAACAATTTCTTCCCATGTCAGTTTGAAACTTTTAAATATTTATGAGGTTTTACATTCCTAAATTTAACAGGAGTGCCATCATCCAAAATAACTGCTGAATTAATAGCCAGAAGATAACATTTGTATAAAAGAACCATTTGCTTTACAACAGCAATAAAGGAAACAACAGAAATATGAGTGTTGAGACTAATTTGAATAATGTTAAAAAAATTATACGATGTGGGGCTGCAGCAATATTCTGGCTGCACCTGGCATTGTCTGTCCTCAGCTTCTTATGCTAGAAATGCAGCAGCCCAGGGTTTATAGGAGAAGAGTCATTAAAACTTCATTTTTTTAATTGCAAAGATATAAAAAATATTCATAGTACAGAATATTAAAACATATCCATCCCTGAAATTTTGTTGCACTGCAGGACAAATTCCAGGGATATCTTAAAATAAACAGTAATAACAACACTCTTTTCCAGGAAAACAGGCAGGATGAAAACACCATGACAGTAAGAGAAAGGAGCAGGCAATTAAAATTCAAGTTACAGTGAAATTACTTTTTAAAGCCCCCCAGTGATTTGAAATCACTTAAAAGATTTGCTTCCTTTTGAACATTTAAAGTTCGATTTCCCCTTTCTAGAAACAATTAAGAATATTATACTCTGAAGTCTTTTCTCCCTGTGGACTAAGCAATTTCAACACTCTTTATCCTTAAAAAAACTTCACATGACTGTTCTGTGCTTTTATGGTAAATTAAAGCCGGACATGCCTCCTCTTGTCATGTCTCCATACCCTCTGGTACTAAAGCAAAAATTTGTCTTGAAAGGAACCACAAACATCAGTTGGGCTTAATGCATGGGAGAGAACTGGTCTTGCCTAATGAAGAACAAACTCAGCAGTTACCAGACTGGGAAACTATCACCACTTGTAGAGAGCTTGAAAAAAAAGATGTCATGCCCTGAATGAGAGCATCAGAACAAGGTCTGTAGCTACCCCATATTCAGATGTGCATGGGGTGGGATGGATACAGGAGGCAGGGAAAAGCACTTACATACTCAGTTCAGGGTTGGAGACAGATTCTCGTTTCCTCACTGCCCTTTGCTATCATGTAAATTGTTTCACAGCCTGCTTGGTATATGTGAACAGCTAGGAGATGAGTGACTGGTTGAGCCTTACTTTACATCTGCCACCCTGAAAGGGCCATATATCATTAATGACCATTTGGGCTGCTGTGGATGAACAAAGACTAGAGAAAACTTTAGGAAACTAGAGAGTCAAGGTTTTATGGAAACTTTGCAAGGCTAAATACTTGAAGTAAAAGCTACTATTTGATGCTTAGATCTTAGTGTTGCTGAACACAACTATTTCATGCTTTTAGAAACGTGTATAATACATATGTTGTATAAAATGGTTTCTTTCTATCGTTAGCATGCAACTAGACAACAAAAAGGATAACCATTCTCATCTTTTCTTCTAGGGAGTATATGTTAATGGGTAAATGTATGCCAGAAAAATGCAGTATAATATGCACACACATATATACAGAGCAATCAAGAAGCAATTGCAATCAACACATTGAAAAGGGGAGACTTCTGCTCTTATGCAGCTTATGCTGCCAGCATAAAAAATGGTCAGAGAGAAATAACTCCTTATGTAGGAAAAAACTGTATCATGTCATCAAATATGAAATAGCAATTTGGATATTTAATAATCTGCTATAACAGAGTTTAGTTATGAGACAGTCTGGGTCAGTGTTGGAGAGAGAGAAATTTCAAGGTGGTGATTACATTTTGTCTCATCTTGCCATAATCTTATTTCATCCTTATTTCCTACAAATTGGCACACACTGATAGGCAGCTCAAGGAGTTTCTTAAACGAAAGATACCTATAGCTCAAGGGTCTGATTGTAATAACTTAATTCAGCATTACACGATATATGAAAATATTTTTTGATCCCATTTGATACTAGGAACACAGGACAAAAATATCATTCCACAGATTGACTTAAGCTTAAGGGAAAGCTTACTAAATGATTTTGCACTAATACTTCTAATAGCATATTTTTCACAATTTTCTATACCCATATTTGATAACATGATAATGTTAATGTAATCAGATGCAAGGAAACTGGTGAGCTCTTCAAAAAGCATTCCTGGTAAAACATTGACTACAATGGAAGCAGTCCAGCTAAACACAGAAAACTGAAATCCTACTTTGCTGTGTCAGGTTAAACTGTCTGTACTTCAGTTTTAAGACCTGTGTGGATAAGACATCAGTGCTTATTACGTGAGGAAAGCATTTTGAAACCTACTGATAAGTATATTAGTATGGCTTTGTTAAAAACAACAAAAAAAAAAATAAGAGCACATTTTGCCATTTGGTATGCACAGCTTCTTCCCCATGCACTATCAGGACTATTCTCTAACAATAACTTCCACTGCTGAACGTAGACCACATTTATATAGCCCTATGGACAATGACACGTGGAGGGTTAGCAAGGTTTCCTAATCAGAAAATACTGACAGACTGATGGGGGAAAAAAAGTAACAAGAAACTCAAATATACAACACGTACAAAGATATCCCATGAAATATATGTTCCGATGCAGCAGAAGACTGGCAAATCAATATGGTATGCCTCTTAACATCCAGGGGCACTGTCTAAGTCAGGAGTACACGTACTATTTCAATAGCAGGTCAGGATCTGACCTCATTTGTACTCTATAGTGAAACAA